GGGGGGGAGGAATAGATCCTGAGACGGAATGAGCTGCTAAGTTGCTAACTTTCCGGGAGTCTTAGTCGCTGCGTTGCCGAATCACACTGAAAAAAAAAATCTCTGTGTATTTACTAAGAAAAGGGTAAAATTACCAAGAATTCAGGGTTCTATTTGATCCCAGTTTTTTTTTGGTAAAATTACCATTCATGGAATTGGTAATTTTACCGAGAAATCTCAGTAAAATTATTGATTTTCTCGGTAATTTTACTGGACCCCGGTAAAAACGCCAATATTTTTTATCGACTGTGGTAGAATTACCGAGATAAAATGGCAAAGTTACCGGGAATTGATTACCAATAAAAGTGGTATTTTTACCTGAGAAAAACAGTAAAAATACCGGTTTTTAGGTAAGCTTGCCAGTCTATCTTGGTAAAATTACCAATAATTGGTAAAAAAAGTGAGATGGTAAAGGTACCAACGGACCTTGGTAAAAACGCCGAGAATTTGTTTTCAGTGTAGGGTCTCCATGATACTCAACGTTAATACTCTCCATTTAAAGATTCTTCAATTTGAGCCGGACTCGCCCAGTTTGAAAATGATAGATTTTCATCGTAAATTTGACAACCGGATTCCTAAGTGTCTCTCAAATAAGGCGAAAGCTTCCCGTCATTAGGCGAGAGTTGATTTCCGGCGAGGATGATGAGGAGATGGAGGAGTAAGAAAAGCGTGGAGAGGGGGAGGGTTGATCGAAATCAAGTAACAACAGTGTTTTGAGGGTCTATCCGAGGTGATTATTTGTCATTCCGAAGATAGTGAGGCGGAACGGCAGCCCTTATTATTCGTTCTCTTGAAATACCCATGCACGTTTTAATGTATGGAAATCGTAAGAAAATTTGTCATCGTCGAGCAAAAGGCATCGGTCTAAGCGAAAATAGCTGTTAAATAGAGTTCCTCTAGACTTAACGCCTGGACACCGATTTCCAGATTTTTCAATTTCCGATCAAAATGATGACAAAAATGGCGGTCAAAAGGCCGCAAAAATTTGATGGCAGATGGTGCGCACCAGTCACCATTTAATCGAAAATTTGATGAAAATTTAAGCGTGTAACCAGGCCTAAGGAGTAAAGACAATGCGAATCCATCTCTGATTGGTTCCCGTATTTCAGGCCTTCACAGTGCCACAAACGGGATTGAATATTACATTTTCACCAATTGCAAAGATTATAAACTGAGATGGACCGAGGAATTGGAGGCGCACGGCAAGGAACAAATGGAATAAGATAGGGGACGGAGACAGAAATTCAAGATTTGGTTGATCGAAGATTACAAAAAAAGTCCGATTTGTGTGATATTTATTCCTGTTTATGACATCCATAAGCCGAGTTGTCTCAACTTTCTCTATAAAGGGACTCTAGAAAAGAGCACAATATTGCCGTGCTAAGGAAGGACGCCGTATGAGCCTTCATGCGTTGCCAAATCTCTTTCGAGAAATCTCGAATTTTCGGAAATATTTGTAAACATTTTCTGCCAATTTTTTTAAAGAATTTCTTCGTAATTTCATGTAAAGTGTCCGGACATTTCAAGGAAAAATATACATGGGTGTCTTCAGAAATTAATATTTTCTTAAAGCTAATGTGGCAACATTTGATAGCTCATACAGCGTTTTTCCTTAGCACGGCAGAATAAAGCCGCAATGTATTGGGAGCGCCAATGAAGTCAATCCATGAAGCAGCGTGCTGCCAGCACGAAACGCACTGGCGCCTACAAACCCAGGGGGATACTTCACGCATTGCGTAATGCTTGAAGTATCCACTTAGGTTTGTAGGCGTCAATACGCTGGCCGGTCGCTCGCCGCGCCGCAAAATCGCCGATCTTTTTTGATTTTCTGATAAAAAATACTGCGCAAAATGCCATTTTCTGCGAATACTTTTGGACGAGAAAAAAATCTCATGGAGAATTTCCATTAAAATGACTAGCTATAGTTCCGGATACTCATTCAGTCGGCCATTTCCCAGAAGAATGAGCAACGTTGCAAAATTCCCTCCGGTAAAATATTTTTTTTTCCGAGGGAACTATTGCAGAGCTTTTTTCGTTGAAAATTTTGCCGATTTTTTTTCTGACTACAAACAAATATTTGCAAACTTTTGGACCGAAACTGCGCGGTCATATTTTTGTAAAAAAGAAAATTGAATTTTTTGGACCAATTTTGCATTCCTGAGTTGGAGTTAAGTTTTTCGTCTAGGAAACGAAGATTTGTTCTAAAGCCGAACATTCCAGATGGAAAACAATCGTCCCGCGCACAATGACACGACCTATTTGTGAGAGGTGTGACAAGAAATTTTGTACAATAACTACAGATTTTGGTGTTTACTTCGTCGCATAAAAAATTTTAAAGGGTTGATCTCAAAAAAATTGTTCGAGAAAACCGATGAAATCATTTTGTAATGTTTATGTTTTGTATCAATGAAAATTTACGCATCATGTCCGATCTCTTCCTCCGATCAGTGGCGACTTTTGAAAGTTGGCAACACTGTTTTTCCTCCATTTAAATGTATGTAAAACAATCGATTCTCGGTGAGGTAGCTTGCCTTACCTAAAATCGATTTTTTAAAAGGGTTTAAATGGGGGATAAACAGTGTTACCAACTTTCAAATATCGCCACTGCCTCTGATTCTCTCCACCGAGCGTCGGCCTGCACCTATTTTTACGAGTGCAAAAACATTGATTCGGATAAACTATGCGCATAGAATTTGCGAGTGGCCGCATAGTTCCTTTTGCCATAAATAACTCTACTGATACTACTACTAATATTGGTCATACTATTTGATTCCTCACACATCTCACCACAAATTAATGACCGTTACGTTGTCTTTCTTTCGTTCTTTAAAACAAAATTCAAGCCAATACATCAAAAAAATTTGAATAACTCGGAAAATATTCAATCCGACATCTGAGGCTCGGAATTTTTGCAAAATGCAAACTGATATGCCACCAGTGTTTACCGCTACTTTTGTGCTGTTTGGATTATAGCTGCACACCCAAAAATCAAATTTGTTTTACAATTTTCATATTCAGATTTTAAAAAAACACACTTTTTAAAAAAATTGTGTAAAAACATTTTTGAAGCTATTTTAGAAAAAATTCGGGGATTCATAGTTCTCGGAAACCTTGTTTAAATGTTAAAAAAATGTTCTGTTATGTTTAGTTTTTACAGGAACGAGTGAAATTTGATGGTTCTAAAGCAAATATGAGACACCAAGGAATAAGTTTTATCAATAAAACTTTTGACAAATGAACGTATTTCTGTCATACGGAACTATGTGCATTATGACGTGAGCCCTGTTATGCATATATTCTTATGGGTCTTAAAGCTCATATCTTAATGCACCTAGTTCTGTTTGGCAGAAATGCGTCCAAATGAGGAGAAGGGAAACACGAAGTCAAGAAATTTTAACATGTTTTTCAAAAACAAAATTATTAAGTCAGTTGAAAAACATATCTCAGATGATAATCATTTTATTACATATTTCATCCGCATTACAGATTTTACGCACATTTCGAAAATTTTATCATAACACTTTTCAAATATATTTTTGAAACGGGTATAATTCATAAAGCGACATCAAAAATGCATTTAATAGTATTAGCTGGAAAGATTCGATAGACTCAATGGAAAGAAAAAATCAACGTATTGCCATACAGTAAAAATGTTTTCACTTGAACTTGTTTTCGATGTAACCAAAGGAATGTGCGTTCGTCCCTTCTTTGCGGAATCTCCCCTTCGACCACAGATTTAAAATTAAAAAAAGAGGAGACAAGACAAAAAAACTGACAGGAGAGAATTCCACAGACTAATTTATTAAGATGAACAGTTCTCTTCTCAACAATATTCTAAACCGGACGCGACTGTTTCGGGGACTTTTCGCCCTCACGTCCATCAGATTCAACAATATTCGCGATTGACAATTTTGGAAAATAGCAACAATCCTAAACCATTCCAAATATTTCATATGTTCAGATGAGATTAGATTTCAAGTTAGATTATGAACCTAATCATT